AAGGCAATCCTGTACAGTGGTACCTTGGTTTGCAACCATTTTGGATTACAACCATTTTGGATTACAACCATGTCAAACCCAGAAAAACGTGTCCCTTTTTTTGGATTACAACCCAATTTTTTTGGAGGCCCCATTGGCGAAAGCGCGCCTTGGGTTACAACTTGTTTTGGTTTACAACCGGACCTCTGGAACGGATTATGGTTGTAAACCAAGGTACCACTGTACAAGGAAGTTCTTTTTAAATGTTTTATTATGTTTTTATGTATGTTGGAAGCTGCCCAGAGTGCCTGGGGCTACCCAGTTCGATGTGTGGGGTATAACGAGTAAAATTATCATTAGGGAATGAGACGTCCCTATTTTCATCGGATAAATGTTGGAGAGTATGATAGTCTTATCTCCACTGCCAGATAGCTCTGAATATTAGTTGCTATCACAATTGGGAAGAGTGCTGTTAGGTCTTGCTTGTGGTGTTTTCGCAAATGTCTGTTTGGCCACTGCGAGAACAGGCCTGATCCAGCAGGACTTTTGTATGATCTTGTCAGTTAACCTGTGTTAGTTTTCTGACTGAGCTGGGTTTTGAACTGTCATGTAAATGAGGAACTGGGAACTCAGAAGCAATTCCACCATTGTAAAATAAGTGTATTTCCTAATACTTGAAATGAATCACCAGTTAGTTCCCAATTGGGATATAAGAAGGCATCCGTTTCCCTTCTGCCCTCCATTTGCATTGTTTCCATTTCGCTGCAGTTCATCTTCTGCCAACAGTTTGTCGTACTGTTTGCTGTGGCGAAATTATGTAACTTACATAACATACCTACAGTCATTAACTGTGTGAATTACAGCCGTCCCATTGCCATTATATTATTCTACCCCATTCATTTCAATGCAAAATAAACATCATTCAAATGGGTGGGAGTAATCAATTACCGTATTTTTTTCTGTATAACACGCCCCCTTGTATAAGGGGACAAAAAAATTAGAAAATGGGCGGAGATTGTCTGGAGTTGTTGAGCTTTTTGGGGGGAGGAGATTTCTTCCCTCGGAACTACCCATGTATAAGACAAGGGCAGTCTTTAAACATTAATTTGGCATCAAAAAAGCTTGTCTTATATACGGAAAAGTATGGTACATATCTATTGTGAAATAAAAGCAACAGCAAGAGTGAATATGGATCATATTTGTTGCATTGATTTCTGCTCCAGACATGGGACAAATAAGTTAACATGGGGAATTTCCATTTCTGTTTCTGTCAGAATTCTCCAACATCCCTAGTTCCCAGACATTTGTGTGTTGTGGTTTTTAATGGCTTCTGAATGAAGGATAAGACAGCAATGACATTCTGACAGGCTTAAGCCAAAACACTTTTATTCAACAGAATAAATGGTAATAATGTTCTCCCTGTTCAAACTGTAGCCATCTGTTTTTGTATTATATATCTTACATATGATTACACAATATATATGATTATATATATCTTATATATGATTACTCAAACTTTCAAGTGACATAGACTGCTTTGGGCAGGATGAGAGAGCGGCTAATTCTCTGCTAAATGTAGAACAATTTCACTAATTAATGCAAATTTCATACAATGGCCCTATATAAGATTATTATCATCTTCCCATTACAACAACAACTGTCTGTTTCAGGGTGTTGAAATGGTTTTTATTTCATCACCAGCCTCACCCTCCCTATTTGTTCTTTCAACATTTGATATTTGGATCACAAACACTCAGTAACATCATTGCAGATTTACAGTTCAGACAAAATACCCTCTGTGCACATATGCATGTATCTTGTGTGCCCATGTGAAGGCAGTCTGCTGGTTGGCACAGATTTCAGCCATGTTGAGCATAACTATTTTGTATATTGTTTTGCTGTGAGGAAAGATCTAGGCCTTAGAGGGAGACCAAATGTAGGCTGTTATTTTTACATAAGCTTCAAATCAGTCTTCAAAAAAGATTAAACAGTTCTTGTTCGGAGGAGAAGCTGTTTCAGATGTCACCACACCCAAAGGCCAAAGATGGTTTATTGGCAATATCACCTGCACTTTGGGCAAATCGGATGCCACACACGTACACACTTGTGAAATACCTGCTGTGAAGCAGGAAAGACAAGTCGTGTTAAAGAAATGAATTCCAAGGACAAGGATGATCATAAAGAGATGGTGGGGGGTGGAGAGAGATATATTGAGGTATAATCCCAAGGGCCATAGGATCTGATGGAACTGCTCTACATCAGCAGAACTTGAGATGCGCAACCAGCATAACAGTTATGGCAGCCGATGGGTTGAAGTGAGATTGGGGTTGCACAGGGGAGAAGAACCCATATCACACCCTATATCAGAGGTCTTCAACCTTTCTTGAGTCCATGGCTCCCATGACCAACTACATTCTTTCTGCAGTACCCCTGTGGGGTGCAGGAGCCCAGTTATGTCACCCCTTGCCTGCAGAGCTGGCAGCTCCTCACCCTTTTTTGAACAACCTCCCTTGTGGTGGGTTCCCTCAGCCTCCTCTCCTCTCCCTTTTCCTTGGGAGTCCACCAGACTGGTCTCTGAGCAACCACCCCCTGCCCCAAAGAGAGGTGCATCCTCGCACTGCCCCACAGGAGCCTGGGAAGAGGATGCCATGAGATGTGGTACGCTATTTAATTGGGAGCAGATAGCGGGGTGAGTCCAGCTCATTATTAACTGGTGGTTAGTGGTAGGTCCGCGACAAAGGGGCAACCAGGAAAGTCATTTGGTCCAGGGCATCAAGCCCAAAGAGGGCCTCCGTTGTGGAGACTTGCTAATGTTTCGACATTTGAAACGTTTCACAACTGGCTTTCATGAACATCAGACCCAATTGTGACACACTCTGTCTGCTTAGCGCTGCAAATTCAAACAAAGAAGACTTATGATATGGCATTTCTCTTTCGTTAACCAATTACAGATTTGTCACATGAGCTGTGGCCCTGCACGAAAGTGAGGTTTTCCCCCTCAACAATTTGTACACTTGCACAGAAAAGTTGTACCCTCTCTCTCTCTTGTGCCTTATTTTGTTTTGTTGAACAAAAGTTATTATATACAGGTATACCCAATTTTTTTCCAGCCACATTTGCTCCCAAAATGACCCACAGTGTACCTGCACAAAGGTACAATATAATTAGGGATATGTTGCTGTATGTGTGCATAAGCAGGGAGTCAGTCTTTTTGTATCCTGGGATGATACACAGTCCAGGTTCTTTTCTCCAGAGGGAGGAGACATAAGGAACTGCAGATGAACTCAGGGATTGGCTGACAACAAAGATGCCAACCCACACAAACAGCAGCTCGTCTGGATCTGCTGTGAATTAATGCACTTAATTTTGAGAACAAAATCCAGAACACTTTTAAGGGAGCAGGCAATCCTCAAGCTGACGGCAACAGTTAAAAAGCTTCTCTTTCCATATGTGTTAGTCTAAACCCAAAGCAAATGGGGAAAAAAATATTGGGATTAAGCTCTGAGATGCAAAACGTTTCTCAGGTGGAACAGAGTGGGTTCTCCTTCATGGAGAGCACGTGTTGCGGTGGGAGGAACCATGACATCCCCTGTTGCTGGGTGGGTTAGTTTGGATGGCCACGAATTTGATTGGGCACCTCCATTGTTGCTGGGGGAAATTTATTGTTGCAATTTTATTTGATTGATGGGGGTGCTATATAGGTCCCTGTGCGCAGCTTTGAGCTTCCTCTTTTCGCTGCGCACATCGGATTACCTGCCCACCCTCCCTTTATTTAGGGTTTTTCGCGCTGACCTTGCTATGCCTGTCATGGGGTCATCTGCTTTGAAGCAGGGGCCTGGTAGGAATTTTACCATTTGGCTGAATGGCTGGTGCCATTTCGGTTTTGCCTACTGCGTAGCAAATCGTCACAACTTGTAAGGTTGCGGTTAAAGGTAAAGGTAAAGGGACCCCTGACCATTAGGTCCAGTCGTGGCCGACTCTGGGGTTGTGGCGCTCATCTCGCTTTATTGGCTGAGGGAGCCGGCGTACAGCTTCCGGGTCATGTGGCCAGCATGACTAAGCCGCTTCTGGTGAACCAGAGCAGTGCACGGAAACGTCGTTTACCGTACCTTCCCGCCGGAGCGGTACCTATTTATCTACTTGTACTTTGACGTGCTTTCGAACTGCTAGGTGGGCAGGAGCAGGGACCGAGCAACAGGAGCTCACCCCACTGCGGGGATTCGAACCGCCGACCTTCTGATCGGCAAGTCAAATTTGGCCAGAATTATGCCAAAACAAAAACAAAAAAATGGTGTGTGAACTGTGTTTTTATTTGGGGGTGTCTTGGGGGTCCTTGACACGCACCTACATCTTCTGTTTACTGCCATCCTCCTTCGATCAGGAGGCAGAATTCTTGGTGAATTAGGTATTTTTATGCAAACTCCCCCTGCCCCCAGCAATCTGCTTAGCTTCTGCTGTAGTGAGGAAGAGATAAACAGAGCATTCAGCAATGTTAGACATGACTCAGGCCATAATTGTGGATGATATGCTATCGTGATAATATACCATAGACCACTTCGGGGCATGGAGTGATCAGTTCTTAATGACTGCATGGTCCTTTGATGCCCCACGAAATGGTAAACGGGACTTTTGATAGCGTACGTAACTGGCCCCATGAAATTTAGCGCCTGTCTGACAAGGAAGCAACACGCTGGTCAGCTGATTCACACACTTTTATATGGAGTATGATGCAATGTGCAGCATTTAACAATCGCCCTTGCTTTAGACAAAATAATCATTCTTTGAGTGCAAAATTTCAATAGCATACCAAAAGTCAGGATGTGGCATGTAAAATATCCGCTGGGCTTGGGTGTCTAGTCAGCGTATTTACAGAGGCTATAATATAATTCTGGCATGAGAGGGAAAGGGTGGGAGGATGGAAGCAATGGAAGAATATTCAGAATATTCAGAATATTCAGAAACAGCAGGAGACAGGGAAGGCCACAAATAAGGGCTTTGAATCGCTGTTTTATTGTATTGGCATTTTAAAAATCAATGAAATTTGGAAACAGGGAGGAAAAAAACAAACAGTGCAACTAGCTGGGAAAACAAAGCCCAGCAATTGTTCACTTATATAAAGGAAAAAATGGTTGCTGGCAGCTATTATATCATTGGCAAACATTGCTTGCTTGTTACAGTGCAGCTGGGTTATACAAAACACCCTTATTACAGATGACAATCCAGGGTTGGGGCATTGGCAATTTAAAAAAAAATCCTTATGAAAGTTGTGGCATATTGTTTTATTTTGTAAAATTAAATGGGTGATTTTCAAACCTGTTTGGTTTATTTTTATTAACCTATTTCTTCTTTATCTTTGCTTATGTATTACGATTTTTAAATATATATATATATATATTGCCTCATTTTTTCTTTTTCTTTTTTAAAGGCTGCAAAATACACATAGTCTCTGCAAGAAATGGAATCTGGGTCTCTGCTGCATCCATGCACAAGCTACGTGAGACACTTTGAGTTCTCTGAAGGAAGAAAGGTGGGAATTTGGACAATTGTCTGTTCTGGAGGGAGTCTTGAAAAAGTAAGGGTTACCTCAAACAAAAGCTCTGAAGCATAAGGGTTGGGAATTGATGGGAGTTCCTTGCAATTGGGATAATGTGATTTCCTTCCAGATATCTCATCTGTGGCTCTAAGATTTGCTCTTCCTGCTCCAAGGTAAGGACCTCTGGACAGTTAAGTCCAGTCGAAGGTGACTATGGGGTTGCACTGCTCATCTTGCTTTTCAGGCGGAGGGAGCTGGCGTTTATCCGCAGACAGCTTTCCGGGTCATGTGGCCAGCATGACTAAACCGTTTCTGGAGCAATGGGACACTGTGACGGAAAGCAGAGCGCAAGGAAACGCCATTTACTTTCCCATCACAGCGGCACCTATTTATCTACTTGCGGCTGTGTTCTTTTGAACTGCTAGGTTGGCAGGAGCTGGGACAGAGCAATGGGAGCTCACCTTGTCATGGGGATTCAAACTGCTGATCTTCTGATCAGCAAGCCCGCTGATAGGTCCACCCACCATTGTGAGGCTCAAAGCAATGAAGATGATGCCTCCTCAGCTGTTGCCATTGGCTGTGGGTTTCTTGTGATGTCACAAAAGCACTTGGCAACTGAGTGGATATAAAGGCAGGCCAATGGGAAAGCCCTTTTTTATTTCCAGCAGGACACACCTGGCAATGGATGTGACATTCAGCACTGCCCAGGTTTCTGCCACTTGGAGGAGGCAAACTCGTGAATGGAAGGAGGCAATCCTCTGGCAGTGGGATGCTAGGGAGCGATAATAAGGCAAGTTTGCTTGCTTGAAGGCTGCTGGTATCCGTGGTTGGAAGCTGGCGGACGTCTCATGATGGAACTAAAAGTACCAGTAGCTTCTGGCACAATGGGACACTGTGACGGAATCCAGAGCACACGGAAACGCCATTTACCTTCATGCCGCAGCGGTACCTATTTACCTATTTGCACTGGTGTGCTTTCGAACTGCTGGGTTGGTAGGAGCTAGGACAGAGCTCCCTCTGTTGCGGGGATTCAAACCACCAACCTTCTGATTGGCAAGCCCAAGAGGCTCAGTGGTTTAGACCACAGCACCACCCATGTCCCTTTTACCTTTACCTTTACCTTTACCTTCCAAGGCACTTACTGCCTGCCCATTCATAAGCATTCTTGGCCATCCACAACCCTGAACATTGCGGTTGCTTACCATGCCAGGTAAAGATTCAGCTATGGGAAGAACTACGGGAAGGCAAGCTAGAAGACAGGAGCCCTCCATTCAAACATTGTTTTCAAGCTAGGCGTGTAATAATCCTGCCCTATGAGACAATCCTCACAGGAATTCGGTTTCATGGTTCAATGTAGTAAGAAATTCTGCATCGCTCCTATCTCCACATTGACAATGGTTTCATCAATTGCATTTCTAGCATATGGAAAGGCAAGGCAGCACTGGATAACTACCGGTAAATAGAGAAGGGGGTAGGGGAGAAATGAACCTGGAAAATATGTGAATTTTCCCAACACATTTTTATGAAGAATCTTCAGCAGGAAGTACCTTTGTATGTTGTAATGTTGTGTCTTCATCTAGTTAAGCAGCTAGAGCAGTTTGTTCAGGATGCGTTCTCCAGGGAACATTCATTTACTTACGAGAATCATAACAGTATGAAAACAGAATTACTCATAAGGACACAATACAAGCCCTGCTGGATCAGGCCAGTCACCTATCTAGTCCAGCATGGAACTGCATTTGCCATTTTACTGCCCGTTCACATTCACTCAGTTTGGAGAGATCCTTTTGGAAAACTACACATTCCATTTTCATTTTACCCATCCTAAACAATTGGGTATTGTCAGCCAACTTGGCTACCACCTTGCTTACCCCTATGTCTATATCATGTATGAACATCATCATCATCATCATCATCATCATCATTATATTTATTTATACCCCGCCCATCTGGGTGGCTCCTAACAGAATATTAAAAACACAATAAAACATCAAATGTTAAAAGCTTCTCTAATCAGGGCTGCCTTCAGATGTCTTCTAAAAGTCAGATAGTTGTTTATTTCCTTGATATCTGGTGGGAGGGCGTTCCATAGGGTGGGTGCCACTACTGAGAAGGCCCTCTGCCTGGTTCCCTGTAACTTGGCTTCTCACAGTGAGGGAACCGCCAGAAGGCCCTCAGCGCTGGACCTCAGTGTCCGGGCAGAACGATGGGGGTGGAGATACTCCTTCAGGTATACTGGACTGAGGCTGTTTAGGGCTTTAAAGGTCAGCATCAACACTTTGAATTGTGCTCAGAAACGTACTGGGAGCCAATGTAGGTCTTTCAGGACCAGTGTTATATGGTCTCGGTGGCTACTCCCAGTCACCAGTCTGGCAGCAGCAGTCTGAATTAGTTGTAGTTTCCAGGTCACCTTCAAAGGTAGCCCCATGTAGAGCACATTGCAGTAGTCCAAGCGGGAGATAACTAGAGCATGCACCACTCTGGAGAGACAGTCCGCGGGCAGGTAGGGTCTCAAGCCGGCGTACCAGATGGAGCTGGTTAATAAGTACGGGTCCACTTTCTGTCATGAGAACTGTCCATTAATTCCTACTGTCTGCTTCCTGTTTGTTACTTAACCAATTCCGAATTCACAAGAGGACCTCGCCTCTTATTCCATGACTGCTAAGCTTAATCAGGAGTCTTTGGTGAGGGATTTTGACTCACAGTCACACCAGTTACAGCTGACCATGAACAATGAATCACCTAAAGCTTTAGTTAAATAGCCTGGTGATTTAAATTATGTGAAGGTTGGGGCTTTTCTTAGAAACTCCAGCACAAGCCTTGCAACATTTTTACAGATGAATACAGGGGCAAACAGTGAAGTACAACAAATAAAGAAATTAACTCCTGAATAAGCATTCAGTGCTGTTGCCCTTTTACAGTCAGGGAATTTGGATCTGGGCGATCTTCCTCTCCATGATTAGAAGGGCTGTGATCAGTATTTGGGCCTAGCATGTGACAACTTGTTAAGTCTAACAAGCGCACAGAGGAAGGTAATCGCTGCTTGTGCAACTGAACTTGTTGAGCAAGTCACATTTTTAATGGCTGACCCATAAATTCTGTATGAATTTCCAAGGCCCTTTTCTCTTCATTTCCTATGCGTGACTGAAAACCACTCTGCATTTTATGCCACAATAAAATGCTCTTTTATACTTTTAAATAGCCCGTTATCAAAGGACATCCCTGATCTTTATCCTTCCAGTCTATTCTTTATGAGTCTGTGTCTCATTCTTCGGAAGACAGAGCAGAGTTCCCAGCAGAGGTGTTTGTTGAAAATGTTTATTCAAAAAAAAAGGCACCCTTCGCCAAACTACCTGGTAGCCTTTTGTTCAATTGATGCTTGAGAGGTAATCAGATCATCCACGATTGTTTGCCCTTTTGAAATAACAGAAATCCAATAGGTGCAAGTGGAGGGAACGTTAAAGTCTCCCTGCACAGCGGATAATAATAATTTAAGAAACAACCAAAAAGCCTGCGAAACTCTATCCTTCGGGGAAGGATGACCTGGTTTCGCTTAGGTAAAAGGGATTCAGTTAACGGGGCAGCAAGTTACATCAGGTCTTCGCATGCCTTTATAAACTGAGAAGGACAAAGATCATAAGCAAGTGAAATCCTGCCAGGAAAACAAAGGCAAGTTAAGAGAAAGGAACAGATGAAAAGGAAGTGTCTCGTTTCTCATTTCATTCATGGGATTATTTTAGATGATAACTTCTTCTTTTGTGGTTCAGCGGTTGGCTGGACAGATTCATTACAGGAACTCAGCTTTTGCAACAGTTCAAGCCCTAGTCAGTGGTGGCTGGTGCCCCATGGAACTGGGAGAGAAAGCATGGAAGTAGGGCTGCCATATGTCCAGATTTTCCTGGACATTACTGGGATTTCAAAGTCAGAAGTGACGTCTGGGGGGATATTTCCGGAAGGCAGCGGTGTGTCCTGGATCTTCGTGTACGGAAAATCACGGAACGGAAAATCACAGTTTGTCTAAAGTAAGCTCAACAACTTTTGGGTTTTCCTCTAAAAAACTGAACAATTTTGGTGGTTCAACAATCTTGGGGTCTTTATTTTTAAAAGTCCTGGTTTTTACTTTACAGCAACACTAAGGCAGCGTGAGAGCCAATGACAAGCAGAGGCAGAGAAAATGGTGGGCAAAGTCAGCTCTGGTTTTGTCCCCATCCTCCTCCCTACAAGAGCAAAAGTGAGATTAAGAAGGAAAGATGCTAACAGCCACAGCCTCACAGCTGGTCGCAAGTACAGAGGCAGGGAGGTTGGGACTGGCTGAGAGCAGCCTGAGGTTGGTGGAGCAGTGCCTTGTTCACCCTCAATTGACTCTAGGGAAATTAGAGAAGCAGCTGCAAGAACGGTATTACTCATCACACTTTTATTTCTCTCCCCGTTCCATTCCTAAGGACTGCAGCACCAGTAAAGAAATGGGGCTTGACTGCTATGTCAGGGCACTCACAAACATTCTTAGCGTTAGTTACTAACGCCTTCGGAATCAATCCCTCTTGATGCAAAGCACCGTTTCAATGCCTTGCAATGCAGGAACGGCTTAACAGTCTGAAAGCAATAGAATTCATTACTGGTTATTATGAAGTAGCAGAACATAAGTACATACCCTCCGACATTTCTCCCATGAAAATAGGGACGTCCCATTCCATACTGATAATTTTGATATTTATACCTCACACATCTTACTGCGTCGCCCCAGCCACTCTGGGCAGCTTCCAACATCTATAAAAACGTAAGAAAACATTAAACATTAACAAAAATCTTCCCTTTACAGGATTGCCTTCAGACGGCTCGGAGGTCGGGTAACTCCATACCCTCTAACATTTCTATAATAAAAATAGGGAGGGAGGTGCTGTGGGTTAAACCACAGAGCCTAGGACTTGCTGATCAGAAGGTCGGCGGTTCGAATCCCCGTGACAGGGTGAGCTCCCATTGCTCAGTCCCTGCTCCTGCCAACCTAGCAGTTTGAAAGCACGTCAAAGTGCAAGTAGATAAATAGGTACCGCTCCGGCGGGAAGGTAAATGGCGTTTCCGTGCGCTGCTCTGGTTCGCCAGAAGCAGCTTAGTCATGCTGGCCACATGACCCGGAAGCTGTACGCCGGCTCCCTCGGCCAATAAAGTGAGATGAGCGCTGCAACCCCAGAGTCGGCCACGACTGGACCTAATGGTCAGGGGTCCCTTTACTTTTACCTTTAAGGAAAAGTGGGACATTCCAAGATCAAATCAGAAACTGGGATGGCTTCTCTAAATCAGGGACGTCCCTGGAAAATGGGAACACATGGAGGGTCTGTAAGTAGTAGCACAGAAAGGAGTAGGCATATATATTGAGGCAATGGACTCTTACGTAACAACGGTGCTTAATGTTGCCATGACAGCAGCAAGATTCCTAATTAATGTTGCTCCTGCTAAATGACAGCTTCAGGATGTCTTGATCACACACATTTTAAGGGAAGCAGAAACCACAGAGGGACTGCAGGCTTTCCGTTAAATTTCCCTTTTTGTACCATCTCCCATGGTGCACCTCACCCCATCAGTTCTGGCATTTCTTATCTTCCATGATTGTCCTGATCTTGGGCCTCAGCCATCCCAAGTGTTGGTGTCAGGCCCTGTCAGAGGGCCCCCACCCCAATAAAACCAAAAAAGGATAAAATACGTAAATGGAACAGAGTGGGGAAAATTGAATTATCTTTTTAGGAAATACTTCCCTGGCCTTTTTGTGTGCAAACACACTAATTATTGAGGGAAAACCTCAGTTTTATGCAATGTTGCTGTTGATAATAAAGCATATGACAAGAAATCTGTGTCAGTTAGCAACAACAGTCATAAAAATCTCTTACCAAAATGCACCTCTTACTTGCTTCAATTTGCAGCTCTGAGCTGAGAGAGCATGTCACAATGTGGTCTGATGCTCATAAAGACAAGTAGTGAAACGTTTCAACTGGCAAAAAATTAATGTGGCTGAATCTGAGGCCCACTTTGAGCTTGAGGCCCCAGGCCAAATGGCCCTTCTGCCCCCCCCTTCTCCATCCTTGCTTTTCCAGGTTGTCCCATTCATTGCAGTGAAGGCAGCCGGTCTGTATGCTTGCACGCCAATTCGTGTGCAGGTGGTCTGACTGCTTCTGTTGCACTAACTGGGGCAGCCCCCATGGTTAGGAGTGCAGTGAGCGACTCATGCAAGCAGTGTGGGATGAGCTGCCCATTCACAGGGGCGGAGGAAAGGGGTCGGCGGGGGTGCCTCCCCCTGGGTGTCATCACTGAGGGGGGTGACATTCAGCATGCCACCCGCCAGCGACTCCCAAGCCTTCCCTGAGCCGTCAGGGGGAAGGAGTGGAGCTGCGCCGCCTTGCCATAGCTGTCAACCTTCCCTTTTTTTGCGGGAAATTCCCTTATTCCAGCGCCGTTTCCCGCTGCTATCCCGGATTGTTAGATATCCCATAGACTGTCCCTGGGACAGGTGAGGCTGCTGATCCCTTATTTTCAAATCTGAAAGTTGGCAGCTATGTGCCTTGCCGGTAGCCTTCCCTCCTTCCCCCTTCATTTTGACAGCTCAGGGGAGGCTTGGGAGTCGCAGGCGGGTGGTCCGCCATTGCCCCGCACTCCCGGGCTGCTTCCTTTGGGGGGGGGAGTCTCCCCTGAGCTGTCAAAAGTAAGAGGGAAGGGAGGAAGGGTGCTGGCAAAGTGGAGCGGTTCCCTCTTCCTCTGCCCAGGAAGCAACCCGCCATGGGTGGCTTGCTCCGCCCCCATGGGCACAGCATATGCGCTGCTACAGGTACCGGGGCAGCTAGCTCCGCCTCTGCCCATTCCCACAATACAGCAAGAACTACCTTGCGATCGAGGCAGCTCCAGGTGTGCTTCAAGGATAAAGTGACTGTGGCTCCATTCTGTCAATTGACAGCTTACATTTTGTACTTGC